TTTTTGTTTTTTACCAGAATGTGAGCAGTCACAACAAAAAGTGAAGACAAAGAAGCCCTTGAACCTACTCCAATGGGTTGACTCAGGAGTATGCAACTGGTGCAACTCAATCTGCTGTTGGATGTTCCTATTAAATATCCTAATTAATCAACCTTAATAAATTGTTGAAATCAGGGGCCAGGTGTGCCCCATCCTCACTGGGACACCTGGAAGCTTCTAAAAATGTCTGGTTATTACTTTACTGTTCAAACACTGTTGCTAAGTGGTTTTTTGTCTTTTGATTATAGGCAACAGGGCGAAGAGAGAAGTAGAACAGGAATTGTAATCCCAGAATCACAGAACATTCTGAGTAGAACGGGACACAGAGGATCATCAAAGTAATGTTTGAACATTTACAGAGATCTAGAACTGTAACTTTGGGTGGTCAGTCTCTCTGCTGGGAGCCTCCCAAAGGGCCCTCAGCCACTCCTCAGCTCTGGACAGCAGCAGCATCACCTCTGCAGGGCCCAGCAGGGCTCTCCTGAGCTGCCCTTGCCCACCTGCACACAGAGCCTGCCCCAGCCAGGGCCCTGCACACAGGCAGGTTTCTGTAGGGCCGGGGCCAGGGCACACAGGGTGGGATGGGCTCTGTGAGCGCTGGCAGGGACAAGGTTTTCCACCTGCCTCCCTCACCTGGCCGTGCTCTCCCTGTTTGTCAGCACTGTTATCTTTGCTCACCTGAAGCCCCCCTCCATGTCCTCCCCATCCCTGGATCTGTCACTGTCAGTTCTGTACTCGGTGGTGCCTCCAGCCCTGAACCCCCTCATCTACAGCCTGAGGAACCAGGAGCTCAAGGATACCCTGAAGAAAATAATGACTCTATGTTTTCAGAGGCAATAAACTCCCTTTTTTCTGCTCAGAATCATCAGAATGTAACTCTTGGCAATCTTGGCCTTTTTTTCCTATTTGTCCATTTTATTACTGAGACCTTTTCTTATTATTTTTCTGGTGTCTTAATGTTTTTTTATAAATTACTGGAGTACTACTCTTAGCATTTCTACATGAACATCTGCTTTTCTTTTACAACATACTCACAGGAGGCTTGTTCACTCTGCATTTGAATGAAAACCTGTGTCTGCCCTGTGTTGTGTGTCCAAGGCCTCAGCCTTTCTCTGGCTCTGCAAGGGCAGTGCCTGGGAGCAGAAGTGGAGGGTAGAAGCTCCCAGCACAGCAGCACAGCCAGGGACAATGGCCCTGCCTCTTTCCACATCTGCTCCTCCCAGCTCCACACTCCCCTTCCCAGCCCTGCTGTGGGTGCCAGGCCGGAGTGCTCTGGCAGCTTGGCCCCTGAGCCAAGGGGGGCCTTCTCTGATTTTTAAATACAGAAAGGTAAATCTACATTTCACCAATGAACACATAGAGAGATCGTATCCCTCATAGTGATTCATTAATGAGTAGATACAAATATAACCTTTGATTAGAATGTTTATCCAGAGCTCAGCTTTGGCTCAGGGTCTGTTGTTCAGGCCTCAGTCAGGACCTGGTGCTGAGGCCTCAGGACTTCAATTGGGTCCTTTAACCTGCAGATGAACTACAATTCATAACAATTCTTTCAATAACCCAGTTTAGATTTAGTTATTAGGCATAAAGGAGTTGCCTCTTGTTCTTCAACTAAGTGCTGTTCAAGTTCATTATTCGGAGCTGTAATTCACATTCATTTTAAAACAACCCTGATTAGTTGCTATTCTCTATTATTTTATCAAATGTCCCTTTTTTCTTGAGACTGAGACTCTTTTTAGACAAGTCTCAGTACTCCATTTCCAGCACAGTGTCACAACAACTCTAACATGAAATCATAACACACCAAGTGCTCACACTGCAACGATGACACACTGCCTCAAATTCATTTCACAGCGTCCTCCAGTTTGGCAGCCATGAAGCCAAGGCCACCAAGAATTGTTTTCTTCTTTCTGCCACTCTTTTACTGCCTTTTCTGTCAAGGTGATTCCTGACTGTTGGCCTTCAAACCCATCACTGAGAGCAGTGCAACATTCCTGTCCCATGAGAGCCCAGGTTCCTCCCTGGCCAGCAAGGAGATAATCCCAGGCTGTGTGTCTCTGTAGAGCCCCATTTGTGTTGTTGGAGCTCCTGGGATGTGCGATTGGACATTTTAACAGTATCATTTGCTATTTTTTCTAATAATTGATTTAGCTCATTACTGTAAAATCTGCAGGGTGGGGTAGTGCACATGGGGCACAGGTTGAACCAGAATCTTTTGGTTTTCTGAGACCAAATGCATCCCCTGGGTGGAAAATGTTCTCTTGGCCCCAACTCTTCCTTGTGATTGTTGCCAAAGTACCCTGAAGGGAGGCATCAGCATTGCCTGGAAACAGGACCCAAACCATCCTTTAGGAAGCTGTTTATGGGCAGTCTCCACACACCCAGCAGCTCCCATTCCCAGTACCAAAGGTCTGATTTCCTATTTCCCACTGTGGGCTGCTGATGGATGCAGGGCTCCTCCCTGGATTATCCAAGTGAACCCCATTCCTCCCAGCATTGGTTGAGAACATTTCCGGCAATTAATGACATGTAATTCTTTGGCTACTTTGATCTTTACATCCTCATAAGAATTTAATGACTAATCCTTCATGAAACTCTAAAGGTGTTTGTGGCAAAGATTCTGGCTGACTCTCAAGATACAACTTACAGACATCAGCAGTACTTCAGTGACATGATTAATCATTCTTTTTCCTCAGTCTCATTTGGGTTAGGAACAATAATTCTGTTGTCCATGGAGCTGGAACCTTTTTAATTCCAGAACAATGCCCCCAAGGTCCTTTGCTGTTCAGCTTCACCATGTTGTCTATGGCTAACAAGGCTTGGTGGGACCCTTTCCCCTTTGGCTGGAAGGAGGCCGGGTCCCAGTCCCTGAGGGCACCCAGGCTCCTGGATGGAATTTGTCTGGAAGTCCCTCAGTGCCACAGCAGCCTTCACATGGAGCCCCGTGGATCAGAGCATTTTCCAAAGGGGCCTTTGAGGCAAACAGGGAGATTTGGTCCGGCAGGATGTGTAAAACAACATCATATAATATCTGCTTGTTCTCACACAGAACACCTGGCTGCAGGGACACATTCCCATTGTTCCTGCCCAGGTTTCAGGATTCAAACAGTGCTGTCTTTCCCAGGAGCTGTTATTCCTTCAGCTGCCTCAGGAGGCCCTTTTGGCCTCTGGAACCACACTCTGGCTCCATTATTAGGACTGCTGGATCCAAACCCTTTATCTCCACCAACAGCAGTGATTTGAGATGGATATCCTTTTTTCCCAATTGTTTTAAAAACTGACCATATCAATAATTGTGATACCCTGCCATGGGATTGAACAATCCAATTTTGTTTACTGTTGTTTAACACATTTCCTTTAATTTCTCCTTGATAATCTGCATCAGTTCCTCCTCCCATGACATGAACATTTTCCAAGGCCAAGCTGCAAGTGGGCAGTTACCAAACTAAAATGTCCTGGAGGAATCTGAATTCCTGTTCCTGTATGGATAACTCTCATTTTCTTCTCATTTATGCTAAATAATTCCAAGCAGGAAGGTCCAGCCCTCCAGCCTCTGGGCTGGCCCTGCCAGGGGCCATCACACCCAGAACAATTTTCCAGGCAGTCCAAGTCTCTCTGTCCATGGGTACAAATTGGGTGCAGCTGTGCACAGCCACGGGGTTTCCATTTCCCCAATGGGCCACTGTTAAGGGCATGGAGCACATCTGGGAGATGGGTTCACCATGGGGACAGGTTCCCATCTCCTCATTTTTTCAACTGCTCTTTTAACAACCCCTTCACCCGTTCAACCAATCCTGCAGCTTGTGGATTGTCTGGAACATGAAAAACCCAGCAGACTTAATAATTGTATTTTTCACACTAACAGACAAAGCATTCCACGTCACAGTATCAGCAAATCCTATAAAAATAGCCAATTTCATCCCTTCCTTTTTTATTTGTTGTATACAATCTCACAAAGTTTACAACTGACAGTTGGGTCTTGGCCAGTTCTTTTCTGTATGGCATTTAGTGTCACAGTGAGCAGCCAAAGCTGACATATTAGCATTGTCTGCCTTATTTCACATTATCAATTTTTAATGACATAGATATAAAATAGATTGTTTTATTATATTATATATATATTCTGCTTTGAAAGCAAAACCAGTGAGAGACTCCAAGTCAGAAATACAGTTTATTAGGAAAAGATGAAAAACCCAAAATACATGCAATGATGCAAAAGAAAAAAACACTGACAGTATCAGAATACAATCTGACACCCTGCTAGTCTGGGTGTTGGTAGCAGCCCAGATGAAATGGTCTTGTTGAAATGGTGATCCTGTAGAAAAGATCTGGCAGCTCTTGTCCTCTGGAAACCAGTGGGTAAGGACAGCTTGTTCTGTCCCAAAACCCAGATTATATCCAGGTGGGGATGCTTAGCTCTCCCCCCTAGGCAGAGCATCTCACAATGGGCTGATATCATTCTGTGTCATGGGGTGGGTCCTTGATTGCTCATTAAACAGAAATGGCTCCTGGAGGGAATTATCTCTGAGTCATGTGAGTGGCAAACCCTCAGGTATTGACCATCCAGGTGGTTTTTGCTAAGTTCAATTCCCAATTCTGAAGGTTCTCCCATCAAGTGCCTTCAGGGTAGTCTTAAGTAGTCGTTACATTGTTCAACTTTCCCAGCAGCTAGTGCGTGATAGGGGATACGATATATCCATTAAATACCATGTTCCCTGGCCCAAGTGTTGATAACACTGTTCTTGAAATGGGTCCTGTTGTCCAACTAATTTCTCTCACGGGTGCCATGTCTCCACAGGACCTGCTTTTCTAGGCCCAGGATGGTGTTCTGGGCAGTAGCATGAGGCAAGAGGTAGGTTTCCAACCGTCCTGTGGTTGCTTCCACCATGGTCAACACGAAGTGTTTCCTTTGGCGGGTTTGGGGAAGCGTGATGTAATCAATTTGCCAAGCTTCTCCATACCTGTACTTCAGCCATCACCCCTGCAGCATGCCAGGTGCAGAGCAGCCAGGTCAGGATGGACTCGTTCATCTGGTGGGTGAATTCCCTCCACAGGTCACGCAGCTCACCCAGGGACAAAGAACAAGTAATGATTTTGGGCTCTGTCTCTTCTGCTGGGTGTGAGGGTCCTGCTGCATCCTCATCAGTCACTATGTGGACTGATTTGCTCTTTGATTTTGTCTTCTGAATGGGGGCAGCTGCTACTGGTTCAGGCTGTTCTGGTTTGGTGATGGTCTGTGTGGAGACGTTGATGGCGCTTTTGGTTTCTTCCTCCTCTGTGACAGTCTGCATAGACATGGATGACTGTTGTTTTGCATTTGGTTCTTTCTTCCTCTGTGGCATTCTGTGCAGACACAGGCACTGCTGATTTGCTTCTCTTTTCCTCGTCCTCAAGAAGACGCTGCTCTATACCATGTAGTGCTTTGTTTCTAAGCATGTTGCAGGCTGTGCAGAGAAGACAAAGCAGAACTAACAACAACACTATGCTGCCTTGGCATCCAGAGAGAAAACATTTTCAAAAACTGCTCTATCAAGCCTGAAAGGCTGGAAAAAGTAATTCTTTATCCCTGACAGGAACAGAGGTCCCCATATGTCAACCAGACCCACCCCACAGAGAGGTCTGTTGCCTCCCTGGGGCCCAGGTACAGGATATTACTGAGACACTGCCTGGGCTGATTCAGCCCTCTGATTATTACCCATTACTGATACTCCAGGCTGGCAGTGATGAGATTGAAAACAGGAGTGTCAGGACAATTGAAAAGCGACTTTAGGGCACTGGGACAAGTGGTTGATAGGACGGGGACACAGGTAGTCTTTTCCTCAGTCCCTTTGATGGCTAAGAAGAACAGTGAAAGCAATAGAAGAGCTCAAATTATTAACAAGTGGCTCAAGGGTTGGTGTCATCAGCAGAACTTTGGATTCTTTGATCACGGGGCAACTTTTACAGCACCTGGCCTGCTGGAACCAGGTGGGCTCTATCTCTCTGTTAAGGCAGAAGAACTTTAGCTCATAAAGTGGCAGAACTTGTTGAGAGGGCTTTAAACTAGGTCTGAAGAGGGAAGGGGATGCTGTTGGGCTCTCTGGAAGCAGGCCCAAGGGAGGTAAGCCTGAGTTAGGGGTGAAATCAGCAGCCCAGCTGAGGTGCATGGATACCAGTGCATGCAGCATGGGTAACAAACAGGAAGAGCTGGAGGCCATGGTCCAACAGCAGAGCTGTGGTGTAATTGCCATCACACTTTAGGGCACTGGGACAAGTGGTTGATAGGACGGGGACACAGGTAGTCTTTTCCTCAGTCCCTTTGATGGCTAAGAAGAGCAGTGAAAGCAATAGAAGAGCTCAAATTATTAACAAGTGGCTCAAGGGTTGGTGTCATCAGCAGAACTTTGGATTCTTTGATCACGGGGCAACTTTTACAGCACCTGGCCTGCTGGAACCAGGTGGGCTCTATCTCTCTATTAAGGCAGAAGAACTTTAGCTCATAAACTGGCAGAACTTGTTGAGAGGGCTTTAAACTAGGTCTGAAGAGGGAAGGGGATGCTGTTGGGCTCTCTGGAAGCAGGCCCAAGGGAAATAAAAGGAGGATGAATGACCTTTGGAAAGAGGGTCAGGTATCTCAGGAAATATTTAAGAGGGCTTCTAGAGCATATAGGAAACAAATCAGGGAGGCCAAAGCTCATTTTGAATTTAAAATGGCAATTTCTGTAAAGGACAACAAAAAATGTTTTTACAGGTATATTAATGGTAAAAAGAAGGGTAAGAACAACCTCTGTTCTACACTGGATGAGGGAAAGAACTTAGTAACTGCAGATGAGAAGGCAGAAGTGCTTAACACCTCAAAGTTTTTTACAGAAAGGATGATGAAAGTATTTGATTGCTTTGCTCAGAGAAATGGTAGAGTCACCATCCCTGGATATGTTTAAAAACAGACTGGATGTGGCGCTCAGTGCCATGGTGCAGTTCAAGTGTTAAGGCTGTGTTAAACTCAATGATCTTGAAGGTCTCTTCAATACAGTAATTCTATCATTCTGTCATTCTGTAACTCACTGATCCCAATGGGCCCCTACCAGCTCAGCCCAACTGCAATTCTCACCCTTTGGCTCAGCCTTTGTGTCCCCTCGAGGCACTGGCAGAGCTGTTGGGGACAAGGCAGGAGTAGGGCAGCCCCAGCGTTCCCCTGTGTGTGACACTCCAGCAGTGACAGCCCCAGCGTTCCCCTGTGTGTGACACCCCAGCAGTGACAGCCCCAGCGTTCCCCTGTCTGTGACACTCCAGCAGTGACAGCCCCAGCGTTCCCCTGTCTGTGACACCCCAGCAGTGACAGCCCCAGCGTTCCCCTGTGTGACACCCCAGCAGTGACAGCCCCAGCGTTCCCCTGTGTGTGACACCCCAGCGGTGACAGCCCCAGCGTTCCCCTGTGTGTGACACTCCAGCGGTGACAGCCCCAGCGTTCTCCTGTGTGTGACACCCCAGACTGCCCAGCCCGGCCTGGGCTGATGTGGATTCCTCTGCACACAGCTCAGGGAAGGTCCCCCTGGCCACCTGCACAGTGCCACAGACAAGTGTCAGACACAGTTACAGAGCTCTGCCCAGAGATGGCAGGGGCAGTTCCTTAAAAAGAACCATAAAAAATCAAGAAAAATAACCAAAAAACCAAACAAAACTATAACAAAACGACAAGAACAACAAAAAAACCAAACACCACAACCACAGAAAATCCCCAAAAAACCCCCAAAACCCAACAAAAACAAACAAAACAAACAAAACAGAGAACAAAAACACAAATCAAACAAACAAACAACAAAAAATCCCAAAACACAAAACAAAAGAAGAAACAGGCAACTCCCCTCCCCAGCAGAGCTGTTCCATCCTTCAATTGTCCTGCCTGCACTCACACACCTGGGGCTGCAAAGCTAGGATTCATTGGGCACATTTGCAGGAAAAGCAGGTTTAAGACAGGTTTTCAGCAGAACTGTTCTCAGCTGAGCCAAAAAGGCCCCTTTGGCAGCTGCAGGGCCATTGCAAATGCAGAGCCTCAGCCCACAGGCCAGAAAAGGGCTCTGAGCTCCCCTCCCCTGACACCAAACCCTGTTCCCAGGCTGCTTCACACACAGGATTCTTCTGCAGGACTGCGCACAAAGCTGAGAGTGGGCTCTGGCTTCTCCATGGTGCGTGTCCTAAAGCTGCCTGAGAGAAGAAATTTCGGGTCAGCTCTGCTGGCACAATCCCTCCTGGTGCAGGGCACAGCGCCAGGAAGGGCTTTGTGTGCCGAGGCTTTGCTGCAGCCAAGGAAAGCTCCTGGCTCAGGGTCACCTTTGCTGCTCAGCCAGAGCCCCGAGTGCCCCAGCAGCAGCAGCAGCAGCAGAGAATGGCAGCATTGCCAGGGGCTGGCACAGGAGGGGGAGGTTAACCCCTGGAGAGAGGCTCCTATTCCAGTTTTGCATTCAGGCAGCTGCAGACTGTAAAATATAAAGCTGTGTTTTGTGTCAGGTACATATAGACAACGTGTGTATTTGTGATTGTGATACGTGTGGAAACCCACTATGGGACAATTATAAACAAAAGGAAGTCTGGGGGGAAAAAAAAGCTAATAGTAAAAGTTAATGCAGTACTGTCTTTCTT